AGATCTCCAAGATAGCAATATATATTATAATATGTGATATAGCAATCAGATTTCAACATTATTTTGCAAGATTTGGCTCGATATCTAGCTTGAGCAGGATATTTGGAATAGCACTATTCGATCTATAGATCTGATGAAGATCCATATCTATCTACAGATCTCCAAGATAGCAATATATATTATAATATGTGATATAGCAATCAGATTTCAACATCATAAAAGATAATAAATTAAGATAATAATAGATCTGTATATAACATTTTCATAGAATTTTTTTTTTTTTTATAAAATATTTTTGTTTTATTTATTTTGTATTTAAACTAGGTATGCAATAAGGAATAAATTTGTGTATATAATCGATGCGTGTGTTTAGTTTAGTTTAATTAACGGCTAATGGTTAAATGCTAGGCTGAATGCGATTAACGCAATGGGTTTAACTAACAACTAATCAGTGCTAAATACAACTTAGTTATATTGTAAAGCGGGCATGCCCAATAGCTGTCTTTATATATGTGTGTATATATATGTATATATACATATATATATATATATATGGTTCTGTATATATGTATCGTATCGTATGGTCGAGAATGTCTTCGAGATGATATCAATATGAAAGCAACAATTGAAAAAATAATCTATATAATATATATATAATGTGTGTGTGTGTGTCTGTGTGTGTGTGTGTTGGTATATAAAATATTAGTTACTAATAGTTCATAATCTGCGCCAAAAACACATAAAATTCCAAATCAAAAATCACATTGAACAAAAGCAATATTCGAATTGAATTTAGAACAAATTCAAATTTTGGTTTGCCATAAAACTAAGCTTAAAAAAAAAATCATTCGAAAGATTTTCGTATAATGCTAATTAATTAAAAACAATTACAAGGATCACAATCAAAGTGTTTCAATTACAATCAAATGAAATTCTCAATTGAATGAATATTGTTAAAATTACAAAATTAATCAAGTATATATATTTTATGGTAAAGCTAAACGAAAGCAAACGAATCTCTTGAATACATTTAGAATGTGTTGAATGATTGATTAATAGATTGATAATTACATTGAATGATTACGAATGAATGAAGCGAAACTATTCGAATGATTTGTATGGAGGGCAGACAAGCACGTCTTTCGAATGATACACAATTACAATTTATATAGTTATACCTATATATAATATATATATATAATGTACGCGTTAGGCCATCTAATACTCTCAAGTGCTTCTATGCTATGGCTGTTTACTAAAATTGAACTGAGATGCGTGTTAAATTCGAAGTTGGGCTGAAGAAAAAAAAAAGCATTCGACTCACTTTTAACATTTGAGAATTTTGGCACAGCTTAACACTTAATGCTTAATTATTGCTATATATATTCATACATATATATATATATATATATATATATATATATATATATATATATATATATATTTATATATATATATATATATATATATATATATATATATATATATATATATATATATGTTATGTAATACTAACTAATACTAATAGGTCTGTCTTGGATACATTTCTAGTGTGGCAATACAGTTTTGGAATAGTGAAATTGTTAAATAGCGTATGGCCTTACAGATACAATGGATTTGTATGCGTATTTCACTTAAACTCTATGAATGGAAGAACAGTTTCGCCTTATTAAATGAGAACAAAAAAAAAAATATATATATATATATAGAAAGGAAATTGCTGTTGTTTTTGTTTTTTAGGGTTCGAGCAGCTCGAACGCAAAAAACAAAACATTTTTTTTTTAAACATTACACAATATTCAAAATTAAAACAAAAACGAAAAAAAAAAATTGCACACACATTGAGATTGTTGTTTGCTTTTTAGTTTTTAAAGGACATGGAAGCGAGAGTACTTTTGTTGTTGTTGCAGTTTGTAGTTGTTGTTGTAGTTGTAGTTGTTGGCAGTTAGATTCAATCCGTAACGCCCAGATGCACCAACTGCTGCATGGTGCGCTGCAAATAGGTGGGATCTGGAAACATATTAAACTGCGTCTTGTGATCCACACTATTCCAAATGACCACATCCTCACGCCCCGTGGTCACAGAGCGCCCGATCGAGAACAGCAGACGGCGATCGAACGCGATCTTGAGAAAGCGCAACACTTTCCGTCCCAGCGGACAGTCGGGCAGATAGCAAACGCGCGGAAATCCAACGGCAAAGAAAGCACGTCCCGGATGCGGATGCTCAGCCGTTTGCAGGCCCGAAGCAATGCTGCAACAAAAGAGCAACAGTTATAGCCATGGTAACTGGGGAAGTAGTTAAGCCAACTCACTCGTAGACAATCTGTATGGTGTTCTGGCCCTCGTGGCCGGGCAAACTTTTGCTAATGATGCTCCAGGACATGCTGCCAATGGGCTGATTGCCCACCTTTTCGCCGTAGACAATGCCGCACACGGGACACTCGATGAACAGGTTCTGCTGCGAGAGAGAGATAGAAGAGAGTAGGAGAGAGAGAGAGTGAGAGATTATAGTCAACGGCATTAATTAGAGCGAGTTAGCACGAGTATTTCTATAGAATCAATATGGAATATATATGATTTGTTACGGGCTGATACCGGACGGGACTTCCACTCTAATCCCTCTTGTAGATCACCTGTCGAGACCTACTCAGTAAAGGCCAATTGGAAGTCTACGTCTATGCCTTTCACGTACATCTGAATTAGAGCTCTTTCTTCTTCTTGCTTTCTCAACTCGGCAAAAGAATCATCGAGAATCGATCACAACATTTAGCTACTCTAGCCTTACCTTATTGAGCTCATTCTGCTGCGCTATAATCATGCCATTGAGGCACTGCAGATGCATCAAATGCTGGCAGCGACTCAGCGATATGGCAGGATTTTGTGCCGAATGCACCAGCTCCTCCATGCACATGGGACAGGGCTGGGCGTTTGGCCACAGCGGCGGCTCGACAACCTTGACAAAGCGCGATATCATATCGCTGGCTGGGTCCACGCCCACAATCGAACCAGCGATTGATTGCTGCTGTTGTTGTTGTTGCTGCTGCTGTTGCTGCTGCTGCTGTTGTTGTTGCTGTTGCTGCTGCTGCTGTTGCTGCTGCTGCTGATGATGATGATGTGGCATGGGCAATGGCGGCGGCACCGGCGCCCGCTCCCCCAACGAGGAAGGCGGCAACGACGGCACAAACACCTCATCGCTGCCCAGCGAACAGTCGAGCAGATCGTTCACAGATATGGCAAAGTTGCGGCTCCGCAGGCTCTCCTTGCTCTCGTGACTGAGATACGTGGAGACGGTGTCAACGCTCGGCCTGCGCCGATGCGATTTGACGCTATTCGTATCGGTGTCCGAGACACGCGTGCGCGAACGCGATCGATGCGAACCCAGGCGGCTGCTGCGCTGCGACTGCAGCGAGCCCTCGGAGCATCGGCTATGATGGCTATTCATCGAGGAGGTCAGCATGCTCTTGCTGCTGTGCGAGAAGTGTGCCTGATGCTGCATCAAATGCAGCGTCGAGCCAGCGACATTCGAGTTGCAGCTGCCGACTGCTGTCGCCAGATGATTGCTGCCGCCGTTGCTGCTGCTGTTGCTGTTGCTATTGCTGCTGCTGTGCTTGGTGCTGCTACCGAAGATGTTCAGGTTGTTGAGAATCTGGCGCAGATTTGTGGTGGATATTTCGCTATGTTTCTTGTGCGGCTTGCGTGGTTGCTGCTGATGCTGTGTGTGTTGATGCTGCTGGTGTTGTTGGTGTTGATGTTGCTGATGCTGATGTTGCTGATGCTGATGCTGGTGTTGCTGCTGATGGTGATGATGTCCATGCGTGGGCAGTGGATGCTGCTGCCGATGCATAGGCGGCAGCATGGCGCCCATTTTGGGCAGCGTATTATTGTTTCTCTGCTGCTGTTGCTGCTGCTGCTGTTGTTGCTGCTGCTGCTGTTGTTGTTGCTGCTGCTGCACATAGTCATGGCCATTGTTGTTCGCCTTCAGCTGCTGCGCCTGCTGTGGCGTCAGCTTGACCAGCGGATAAGGCGCCTGCTGTGTGCGCCGTATGCTGCGCAAGGGACCGCTCGGCTGCCGCATTTGCGTCAAGTTGCAAAAATTGATGGTGTATGGCAGGCTGATGTTCGTGTTGCACAGATCCAAGGTTTGCTCGCCCTGCAAGTAAGCATTTTTATTATTATTAAATATCAGATGAATCTATATATATTTGATGGTCAAGAACTTACGCGCGCCCACGCATCCTCAATGATGCACTGCACATGCATGTTGTATGGCCGCCAATCACAATTGTTGTCCGCGCTGCCGCCGCCGGACCACTCCCACTTGGTGCCCTTGCCCGCCGGGCTGCTGGGCGCATAGAGCATGCGCCGCACGCCAATTGTTAATAGACCGCCAGCCTCTGATTCGGTATCCGACTCTTGGGTCATGGTCCGCACGTTCACATAGTATTGCTCCAGGCTGGGATCGGCGTCGCTTAGCATAACACGCGTCAGTTTCTTGGCATGCGCACGCTCCAAGTGCTGTGACACAGCCGGCGAATAGGGTAGCCATTTGCCACCGCGCGACTCAAATTCCCAGACGCAAACGGCATGTGTGTGATTGATGGCTCCGCCACCAACGCCGCCTGCAGCAGCTCCACATCCACCACCAGCCCCATTGCTGGCCATTTTGTGTAACTTTCTGCACTCACTTCATTTTGTAACTATTATTGTCTATTTTCATTTTTATTGATAACATCAATAATATTTGCGTTGATTTTCTTGATTTCCCTTTTATGCTCGTTCCCAATTTTCTGTTTATGCATTCAAATTCGGTTGCGATCGTTGCTGACACTGCGACACTGCGACGAAGATGGAACACAAAATAAACAAAGAAATTAAAAATGGTGGCCCTGCATGGGCAGGGGTGGAGTGCACCGCAGCACCATGTCAATCAGTACCTTTTGCGGCTTGATATTTTCTATTTAAATGTATCACTTGCACCACACTTTAACTAAAACGCAATTCTAACTGATCTTTACTTAATTTATATGCTAATTTTAACATTTGGGCGCAAGCGCAAATGGTAATGCAACAGGTAGAATAAATTATAATTTGTGCAGTGTGCACGTATTTTCTACGGTAGTGCATGACATTTCGAAAGATTTAGTATTTTCTTTCAATTAATACACTATCGAAACACTGTGTCATGCAACTCTGCATGCGCCATCTGGTGGCTTTTAAATGAAAACTACGTGTACATGCAACCCTGGCGCTAGCAAACGTCAACTTTGACAAGAAAGCAACTTCCGCCGCTCTCGCAATTCCTTTACCTTTCTGACGGGCAGACGTAAAGCTGGTCTTTTAAACGACCCGCAAAATAATCTGCTTTTTTTGTTAGCATCGTTAAATAAAACTGCGTGAAAATGGTTGTTAAGAAGGTAAACAATACTACCCAACCAAATGATATCAACATTTCCACTGGCAAATGTTGCGCGACGTGAATTATCTCAGTTATTATTTTTTTACAATTTTTTATTTGTGTTTTGTTTTGTGTTATTGTGCCATACAAAATATACATAATATGCATATGTGATACGCATAGTACTGCTGCTTTCGTGTTTGTGTGTGTGTGTGCCTGTGCTTCCTATTAAACCTGAATCAATTTCACGTTTCAGCCCAGGCCAAAGAAGAAGCCAGTGACCAAGAAGGTGGCCCCAGCTCCATTGGCTGTGAAGAAGCCCGTGGTCAAGAAAGTTGTTAACCAGCTCTTCGAGAAACGTCCCAAGAACTTTGGCATTGGTAAGCGATTGCCATTGCAAACAAATCATATACAAAGGGTTCCTTATTCATGGTTTAATTTTGAAATTTGCAGGCCAAAATGTTCAGCCCAAGCGCGATTTGTCGCGTTTCGTGCGTTGGCCCAAATACATTCGCGTCCAGCGCCAGAAGGCTGTGCTGCAGAAGCGTCTGAAGGTGCCACCACCAATCAACCAGTTCAGCCAAACCCTGGACAAGACCACAGCCGTGAAGCTATTCAAGCTGCTGGAGAAGTATCGTCCCGAGTCGCCGCTGGCCAAGAAGCAGCGCTTGAAGAAACTGGCTGAAGCCAAGGCCAAGGGCAAGGAAGTTGAGCCCAAGAAGAAGCCCAGCTATGTCTCGGCCGGCACCAACACTGTCACCAAGCTCATTGAGCAGAAGAAGGCTCAGCTGGTTGTCATCGCTCACGATGTCGATCCCCTAGAGGTAAGCTCCATCTCCCTGTCTCTCTCACTCTAACTGAATGGTGATCATGCTATGATGTTAACATGAATTTCTTCAACTGAAACGTGTTATTTATGAATATAAAAACACGTTGTTTGTGGTAAATTGACAGCTGAGTTTGAGAGTATAAACACACCCCCGCATTTGAGCACGTGTTATTTGATGAGATTGACTAATTGTTTGTTTTTCTCTTTTTAGCTGGTGCTCTTCCTGCCCGCCCTCTGCCGCAAAATGGGCGTGCCCTACTGCATTGTCAAGGGCAAGGCACGTCTGGGCCGTCTGGTGCGCCGCAAGACCTGCACCGCTGTGGCTCTGACCACCGTCGAGAATAACGATAAGGCCAACTTTGGCAAGCTGTTGGAGGCTGTTAAGACCAACTTCAATGAGCGCCACGAGGAGATCCGTCGCCACTGGGGCGGTGGTGTTCTGGGCTCCAAGAGTTTGGCACGCATCGCCAAGCTGGAGCGTGTCAAGGCTCGTGAGCTGGCCCAGAAGCAGGGTTAAGTTAGAGATGCGCCGCAGATGCAGCAACTATTTTGTATGCCTAAATAGCATATGGACGTCGATTCAAGTAGAGAGTTGATCCCAAATCCATACGAAAAACAACAACAAATAAACATTTAAGTGTACAATTTTTAACTATTTTTTTTACTCTCTCAATATGTGTATAAAACTGTGCTAGTGCCGCTTGAACGGGCCAAGTCTAAATGCTTGGCGTTCAATAAATTTATAAGCTCAATTAGAGAATTTCAATTTTATTTGCCAAAAACATAAGTTGGCTCTGAATTTTTTGCGAGTGCTGCAAAATGTTGGCCATTGCAATTAGCAGTGCCTTTTTGAGTTTAAGCGGCTGTTGACAACGGTCGAGAACCTGTGCTAGAAGCCGGCTTGTGCTAAATTGTAGATGTCTGTTTGCTTGACAACATTAACAAGCCCAACGAATTTGTAGAACGACCTGGCGCAATTTACATACATACATATACTACTTATGCTTAGGATTGATGAAATAAACAAAAACATCGCTAAAATTAAACTTTTGCATACTTCATTTTTTTGCCGGCAAACAAAACCATTTCTGCCATTGACAGTGCCTTTTTGAGTCTAGCAGCTGTTAATGTTAAGAAAGCGCCAAAATTCAAAAGGTAAAAAGTATATAAGTATATTTTGTTAAAAATAATCAAGTAAAAGTGAAATCAGTTTAGTGGGTAATATCATATTTTGGAACGTTCCGTTTTGATGGCTCGCAGCTTGATGCTCTGAATTGCCTCGTTCAAGATGCTGAGGACCATGTCTACCTTTTCCAGTGTCGCATTCTCGCCCATCAGACCAATGCGAAAGACATGCTCCACTGTGGGACCCAAGCCGCCGCTGATTTCCAGATTGTATCTGCCGTGGGAGAAGATCATATTCACATTATAATTGTCTAAATTGAGATTTTGGTGTTCACCCACTTGCGCATAGCGTAGTCCGCCACCTTCCGCCAGTCGATGCCGAAGGGCACTTTCACAGCATTGACCGTGGGCAGGCGATCCGGCTCGTGCTGCACAAACATCTCCAGGCCCAGTTCCTCGATGCCCAGCTGCAGTCGCTGCGAGCACTCCAAGTGCCGTTGCACCACGTTCTTCAGGCCCATGGCGCAGAAGTGAGCCAGCGCCTCGCGCAGGCCGTAGAGCAGGGTCGAGGAGATGGTGTGGTGGTAGATGCGAGGCGTGCCATAGCAGCCCCAGTACTGGCCAATGAGCAGCACATCGAAGTAGTAGACCTTTGGCTTGGTCTTCCGCTGCTTGATGTGGGTCAGGGCGCGTTTGCTGAACGAAATGGGCGTCAGGCCAGCTGGACCGCCCAGCGTCTTCTGTGAGCCCGTGTAGGCCACATCCACCTTCCACTCGTCCATGAGGAAGTGGGTGCCACCCAGCGAGGCAACCACGTCCACGACCAGATAGCAATCGTATTGCCGGCACAGATCGCCGATTTCGCTGATGTGGCGCTGCAGGATGCCTGTCGAGGAATCGCCCTGTGCCACAAAGAAGACACGCGGCTTGTGTGTATCGAAGGCAAACCGAATCTCCTCCAGCGTCAGCGCACGCCCAAAGCTCGCCTCCACAAAGCGCACATCGGCGCCATACCGACGCGCTATGTCGCCCGCCCTGTGGCCCCACATGCCCGAGATGCCCAACAGCACTACGTCGTTCTCCTCGATCAAGTTGCACAGAGCCGCCTCCATGCCACTGTGGCCCGCTCCACTGATGCACATTGTGGCGTCGTTCAGTGTCTGGAATATGTATTTAATGCCCTCCTTCACTTCGTCCATGATCTGTGCGGAGGAACGGAAGAAAATTGCTTGAGAATCGCTATTCCGATTGAGAATCTAGGCTAATGGGAACGTAAGTACTCTAATTGGAAATACAGTTAAATATATCATTTGAATGTGAAAGTAATATACCCCACTTTTGAATGCGTACAGAGTATCAAAAGATTTGCGATGAAATTGCCATGATAAGCTTAAATACACTGTTTGGCTGCTAACTGAATATTCAAAATGTGAACTTCTCCCATATCAGCAAAACCGAACTGAGCATTAACATTAACATACGCTGTTAAAGTACAAGCACTGACCAAACAACAGTGGTGGTACAAGACAGCTAACAGCTAATTTGAAATGTGACAGGTGTAATGGTATTTCATGGAAAGTGGTCTGTTAACTTGGCAGTGTGACGCCACATATTCGGAAACAGATGCACGCGTGCTGATCTCTGTTTGAAAATGAAGCAACTTTGACTCTGTTATCTGTTTAAATGCCAGTAAACAAAACAAAATCGGAAATTGCGCTCAATAAATACCTATTTTTAGATTATAAAAAGGCGCACTATAAGCTATTTTTTATTATTTACGGTAAACATTGCTTATCACAAAAGCTTAGTTACCTTCCCTGTTTATGATTCTTTCTTACCAAAGACAGTTTATGATTTTTTCTTACAAAAGTATTATAACATTGCTTGCAATGTGCTAGCGGATTTGAATTTCGGCGCGCACTAAAGCAGTAAGGATAAACCTCAGCTAGAATTTCCGTAATTAGAAAGTCCCAATGATCAGTGAACAGTGAGCGCTATTAGTAGTAAAGTTGGGTAAACGAACCTGTAGACACTCTGGATGCATATGACCCAATACGGGGTTGCTCATGGCCTCAAGGACGCGTTGTGAGCAATTGGATGGACCCGGGCCCATCAAAGTTTTGCTGGGAACGAAAAGCGATCGCTTGAGGACAAGTGGCGGCGGCACCTCCATTTCACTAAATATTTTAATATATGACTAGGTAGTGTTATATATTTATTTTGAAACTTTTCCACTATTCGTTGTGGTATTTATGTAACTCGAAATTTGGCGTCTTATCACGGTAAATGAAAATCTGACTATAGAATTATATTGCTCTGCTAGTTTTTCTTGATAGTTGCTTTACGTTAAAATCTAAAGATCTAACTGAAACGCTTTGAGTGCAACTCGGCTGGTTTTATAGCGGCGCAACGTTGCTTATCTATTCAAATAGCGCTAATGAACGCACTTGAAGTGGGGGGAAAACAAAAACAAGATGAGCACATTCTCATTTTCTCTTATCAAGATTGCTCTCGGAATCTTCTTTGAATATACAGGAATATACATATATGTACATTATACGCAATATATGTATATCAGCAATGGCCATCCAAAGGTTATTGTGAAATACAATAAGGTTGAGCTGCTGGTGTCTGCATGAACCGATACAGTGAACACTAGCAGAGTCTCAGACTCGGATTCACCTGTTTTTATAAACTACATAATATAACACACACATATGCATATGAGCACACACACATATATGCTTATATTTGATA